CAGACGGCGGCAGAGATCGCCTCCATCACATCCTCAGAGTGAAGCTTGGACTTTGTTTCCAGATGCTGTCAAACAGTATTTTATAAAAGCGTAAAGCTGCCAGTTTAGAAGCTACAATATGCAGGGTGACGCTGATCAGGGATAAAAAAAATAAATAAAAAGTCCGACATGATCCCGCATTGTCTGTGTAGTTCTTTTTATTTATTATTATTTTTTAAGGATTTTTTTGGGACTACTTTATTTGACAACAATCTGACTGTAAGGGGGCAGAGAGAGCGGAGAGAGGCCTGGGCCCAGCAAATGGAGGACGGGAGTCGGACTCCAGACCGCGGTCTAAAGTCTCTGTATGCGGGGCGCTGCGCTAACCACTGCGCCACGCAACGCCCCTATTGCACTAGCCTATGCTGAAATTTTCAGCTTCTCTTTGGTAAATTATTTACATTTTTATACAGTTTGAGCTTTCTGACAAACTCATCTAATTCACCTTCTTTCATTTCCTTGGAAAAATCAGTTTTGTCACGTGACTGCGACTAGTCGACTGGCCCAGAAAGTCATTGCAGAGAAAAGAATCGACTAGTCCAGGGGTGGCCAAGTCCAGTCCTCGAGAGCCACCATCCTGCAAATTTTAGAAGTATCCTTACTCCAACAGACCGGGAAAAGCTCTACAGAGGCCTGATAACGAGCCAGTCATTTGATTCAGGTGTGTTGAAGCAGGGATGCATCTGAAACTTGCAGGATGGTAGCTCTCGAGGACTGGACTTGGCCACCCCTGGACTAGTCGACTAATCGGTGCAACCCCTACTTCAAATATTTCCAAAGTTTTATTGTTAACCAACTTTGGTTGACATTTTTGCAATACAATTTCAAAGGAAGCGGTAGACATGTTACTTCAGCCAGGGGTATTTTTTATTTAGTCCACAATGTGCCACTGAAAACCTTTAAAAGTTTCCTTCAGATTTCTCTAACTTTTTAGCATAAATTCGGTTAGCATGCTTACATTTTTTAAAAAGTGTTTTAGGAAATTATTTACAAAATTGAAGAGGTTGAGTAAAAAAACTCTGAAGATTTTAGAATCCGACACCACAGGCTTAACCAAAAGAAAATAAAGCTTTCTTTAAAGCAGCTTTTCCATTTTGTGACATTTAAAAATATGCCAAAATATAGATCAGGAGTTTTCTTTTGATTAAATTATTTTACAGATTTCAAACAAAAAACAAAAAAAATTAGTTGAGAAATATTAAGGAGAGGCATTAATCTGATTATTTCCCAACGATCAGGCTTTTTCTGCTCCAACCTGGAGCTGAGATTTTAGCGCCGATATGCTCAACAGACCATCTTATAAACATTGTTTATAATATTCATAAACAATCAGCACCTTATAATTTAGTGATCCTTAAAATGTATCTACGTTACCCTGCATAGACGCATCGGTGTGGCATTCAATGTCGAGTCCACCAGAGGAAAAACTATGTTTAATATGAAAATAAAGATGCAATTTTGTTGGAGTTCTTGTATTATTTTGACTCTATTGTGGTACAACTGTAATTTTATGACTTTATTCTCGTGATTAAGAAAAGAAATGGTAATATTCCATCATAAAGTTGACCTGAATTCAAAGTCCGAATAAACAGAAGCTGTGAAACACGTTTGTAAAACAAGATGGCCGCCTCAGGTCTGCTGACATCACTGAAGCATGAAAACTCAAGGAGAACAAAAATCCCAATTTCCCTAAAATGTAATCTTCAAAAACTAAAAATTTGATTAATTGATCAAATCAATTTATTGCCCATCCCCAACACATAGTGCATTGCTATATTAGCACCTTCTTTTTGCTCTTTATGTTTCTGCTTTTGTCCATTTTTTTTTATTAGGGGTTAAACTGTGTTTTTGCACTGGGTCAGCTGGTTTAACTGGAAATGCCGATGTTGTTTTCCACACTTTCGCCGCAGACGGAGCCGCTTCACAGCATCTCCACTGCCTCACATTGTCTCAGCGACAGCCAGTCATATTCAGGCTTGGATCTACTGAGCAGATATTAATGACCTCAGGAGGAAAAAACGTTTAATGACTTTGTTTCAGTGCCGCTAGCGAAAGCAAAGTTTTCCCATTAAACCCCGAGCAATCACTCCAAATAATAAAGGAATTGCCACAGAATTCAATACAGACACTTTGGGGATTTCATGACCTACATTAGTTTTCTAGTGACATTTCTTCAGCATATTGGAAGAAATATGCCTTATATTTCAGTGCTATTAATAGTAACACCAAAATGGTAATGCTTGTACATTACGAATCAAGACCAGGAAGACATTAGCTTCTGATTTAGCTTTGTGTTTAAGGGTAATTTCACATTATTTTAAGGCATTTGGACCAAATGAGATCAGCTCAAAATCTACAAAAATGTAAAATCAGGTTCAGAATTAAAGGCATAATTTGGTGAACTCCAAACTATTGTTGAATTTTTCACTGGAACGCAACTCCAGGTTATTTGCCGATATACACCGATTATTTAGTAGAGAGTATTTTAAAAAATTCAAAAGAAAAAAAATGCAGCTTGGGAAGCTGAAATACATGAAGGCAATGCTACATGACACACTATTGGCTGAAGTTTGCAAAGCAGCCAATCAAAGAGTATCATTCATTTTCTTTGGTGCCAATTGGCTGAAACCCTCTAAATGTAGATGTTGGCTTTGTATCCAAAATAAACAAACAACAAATAAAACTAATGATGAAGTCTGTAAACAAAAGTTGTTCTTTAGAAAAAGGGGTAGTTGAGACAAAAATATCAGACAAAAATATCATCCAGTTTTTGGTAGAAAGGGAGAAAAGAGAAAATGAAAATTAATGAGCTTATTTTAATTTATTATGCAATTAATTGATTTATTACTTATTACGACATGTTTGACTGAAATTCCAGATAGATACCTGCTGTTTTTATTGCAAAAGCACATTTATGAATTTAGAAATACAGCATAAATAATGTTAGTCACCAAAACAATCACATAAAATGTCCATTTCCTTTTATTCAGCGGCTTGTAGACAAAAAAAATCCTGACTTTGTGGTTTATGGGCCAACATCCGCAGACCTACTTTAGGAAGACAAACCACTCATTGGACTTTGCAGGATACTTTGAACTGAATTGTATGCAATGAATGACCAAAACAGCATTTAAATTATATCAAATATTAATTTGCAACTTAATCCACAAACTTCCACCTGCAATAAATAGATTTGTATCTTTGCAAAGGCTGTTTGGTTTCAATGCTCCTTAACCCCAGACCACAAGAAGCGTTTTCTGACCGCAGGTTCTCCGCTCTGCACATTACACCAGCTCACCAACACGACTACTATTACTACTGCTCTGAAACGGCTGTACACACAGGAGAACCAGGACTGGAAAAAGCTGAACCACGTCTCTTATAAGCTTTTAAAGATTCATGCTGCAACTGGAGACACAAGGAAGGAAAAAAGCAGCACATGTGTAAGGCAGCGGCGTTCTAAGGGAGGAGGACGAACTCGTAAACATGCTTTTGAATCAGGAAGTCAGAGGAGCCACTTTTTAAGTCTGTTATTTTAGGAGGAAGGATGAAGTAGGGAGGGATTTTTATCTTTATACGATCACAGTTTAAGTAGCTTATCTGGGAGGGAAATTTAGGCCATGCCCTGATGAGAACTAGAGCTCTCTCTGCATCCGTATGGGAGACTTTTTAGTTTCTGAAAATCAAATAAAAGTGCAGCTGCAGAGTCTCAAGTGCTGCCTCACGCTGAACGGCAAGACACTCCTGCACCACAGCAGGAAGGGGGAAGCTGAGGTGCATCAGAGAGGCTGTTGGATAAGCAGATATACACAGGTTTAGCTGCTCTGTCTGGACCAACACTGAAGATTTGTGAGGATTTTCACTTATTTTTAATACAAATTTCCACCAAATTAATTCAAAATACACATGCAGTACTATTTCTGGTTTATGTTCCCTCTGTGTGCCTGGGAGATTCCTGTTAAAAAACAGCTTTTACGGCTCAGGGAGATGGTGCACATTTTAAAGGCATTTGGCATAAATCCGTGCTGACCCTCTTCTTTCATCAAACACGCGGGGTGATTGGGTCACTTCCGGTACGTAATTTCAAAATAAAACCAGAGGACATTTGATGTACTAAGCCTGCCACAGTGTGGAAATGACAGCATGAATTAAAGTAGTGAATTCATTGATATATTTATTACAATTAATATTTTTTTTATATTGTACATACAATTAATCAAATTTAAATCTTCATGTTAACAACTTGAAACCCTTCACTCTTTACTGTGGAGATCTCAGGTAACTATGAAGTATAAAAGGACCATATTGTTGCCAGTGTAACAGAATGTAACTGATCCCAAAGAAGCAAATATAAGCCTAAATAAATGCATAAACATGTCTAAAATTCCCAAGTACAACATAAAATACAACTGCTCAAACAGCTATAACTACCGCTTAAACAAAATATTTGATTCATTTAGTGTATGTTCAAAGTATAAAACGTCCAAATTCAGCTGATTAAAACACACCCGCTTTAGTTTTGCTTAAAATGTGTATATTATTTTGAAAGTCCGTGTCGCCACTTCCTGTCTTCGCGGCCGTAACGGGCGCTAGCTTACCGCGGCCGGTCGCTCTCCACGCCGACTGCGGCTCTCCTGTCCCGCCGCCCTGACTGTCAGAGGCGGCTTCAACTAACCTGAGCTCGGCCTCAAAACACACCTCCACCACGCTTCAGCTAAAAACAAAACCAAAAAAAGCCACACTAATAAAAGCGATAAGTCGAGAGGTTTTAACGTTTTCCGCGGCGGTTTGTTGATGCTCAACCCCGGGCTGCTCCTCGCCACCCAGCCGCCCAAAGCGGTGAATGATGCTCGGGCAGCTGCGTGCCACGACACGCCGCTGATTCCTCCCTCAGACCCGCTGAAAACCCGCTCCGTTTTCAGCTTAAAAAAGAAAAAACATGAAAACAAATAAAATCCTACCGTAGACATCGGTTAGTGCTGATGGGTCCTTCCTCTTGTGGAGAGCGGAGAGGCTGCGTCGGATCAGGCTGCTCCTGCGGTGTCTCTGCCTCCTCCCACCGGCCGCCTCTGGTCGGGCTGCTGGGAAACTCTCAGCGCTGAAAACGGCCGACGGTCCGCCTGCCTGTCCGCAGACAACAGGAGATTTTCAGACAGCTACACAAATATGAGCTCCTAAGTGGGCAGGGCGTGTCAGGCAGCCCGTGAGCCCTTCCTCCTCTAACCCGCCCGGAACATGCAGTTCTGCCCTGAGCGGACCGAGCGCCACGGTAAATGTCATTCACAAATCCCCACGTGGCTCCAATCTATACTATAATATAATATTATATTATATAATATTCAATAAGTTATTAAGGATGGTGATGCTGTGGACAGGAAGGACATCTGCTAGCAGTCAGGCCTGCAGCGAGACTGAAGAGGCCTCTGACTGAAGACAGCTGCTTTTCCATTACTAATGTGCGCAAAACTTCGTCAGTATTTCGCTCATGCCAAAAAAAAACACGATATTGCAATTGCGGTGTTTTCATTGAAGAAGCACAATCATCATCCAACTACTTCCTGTCATCATCTTCTTGGTGGTTTGGTTCAGTGGCAACATCCGGTTGTTGATTGTGTGATGTGAAAACAGTGTTTCAATTGCAGTTTTTGGAAAATAAAGCAACTTCAATGAAAAAACAACAGAACAAATCATCCTAGCACCAAAACTTTAGTGAAAAACTAGTTTTTTCCAAAACTTTTGTGTCCATTAAACAAATTTTCAAAATGTCAAACTGCGTAATTATGTGGTGAATAGAAACAAAGCTACTGTTGCTTTTATCGAGCTGTATTTCCATTACAGATGTGTGCAAAACTTTGTACATTTTCCGCTATCAAAGGATTGTAGTGTTTCCATTAAGAAACACAACTAAAATCAACATTAATCGTTTTGTTCAAGCAGTAAGTCATTAAAAATGATCCTGCGCCATCATCCTGCGACCACTTCCTGTCGTCGTCTTCTTAGTTTACACCAGTAGCAACATCTGGTTGTCGATCATGTGACTCGTGTGAAGCGAAAAGAAAATTACAATTTTGCAAAATAAACCAATTTCAATACAATAAAAAACTCATCTTGGCAGCAAAACTTTTTTAAACTGGTGTATTTTCAATTTCAATTTATTGTCAAACTGTGTAATTATATGGTTAATAGAAAAACAGGTACTGAAATGACTGAGATACCCTCCGAATTAAAACAATCCTACAAAAAAGTGGGAAAAATATCCTCCCAAAAATCACCAATTTTCCTAGAATTCTGTAATTTCAACCATTAAATAACATTAAATTCTCCCTGTAGCCATGGGAACAACTTAAAGGCACCATGCTGGTTTAATTATGTCTCATTTCTGAGCCTGGAGGCACATGTTGCCTTTTTAGTGCAACAGCTGTGACATAATCTGCAGTAAATTTCAGCTGTGCGGCTGAGTTTCACTCTAAACGACATGCAGGTGCTGAGAACAGTAACGTCTGCATGAGTCTCGCTCTCACAGATCTGCTTCTGCACAGAGTGGAGCCAAATCCAGTCGGGGTGCATAATGAGCAGACTGCAGCCTGGGATTTGACCCACAAACCTCAAGGTGGCTGCTGCATGCCGGCAGGATTTACTGCTGCACTAAAAATAAATAAATAAATAAATTCTGTATTTGTGATCCAGAAAGGTTGTTTTTTGTTAATTCTGCTGCTGACTCTGTGCGGCTGAGATATGCCTCAAGTTGCCAGGTTTAAGCTGGAGGAGAGGAAGCATGCTTAGGACTTTCCACTGTCGGGTTTAGATTTGGTTTTCCTGCAGGATTAATTTATGAAAAACAGAGGAAACTGAACAATACATCCCACTGTGGGTGCATCCTGGGATATTCAGCTGTTTACAAGCATCACAACTGATGCTAAAATCCCTAAAACATATGGTAATAGGAAGTGTCTGACTAATAACTTTATGTAAGTTCAACAATTATGAAACCAGGCTGCAGAGAAGATGGAGTTCTGGTCTGTGGTGACCTCTGGTGGTGAGATTGGAGAACTGCACTTTGGTAGAAAGAAGGATTTTTTCCATCTAAAGTTTAACGAAATGAAAGAGCGGCTTCTTAAAATCTGATTTTTATGAAAAACCGTAAAAACAAATAAAGATTCTAAACATTTCTCTTTTCTCAGATTTGCAAATATAATTTTGTCAGTGTTCGGTAAAAGCAGAAGCTAATGAAGCGCCACCACGTGGCCAAAGATGTCATAGCATGAAAAAAATATTTAGCAAATCCTTATATTTGCTAAATATAAGGATTTAGCAAATATCCTTATATTATGTAAAAGCTAAAACAAAATTGAGCCATTTTTCTTGTATTTTCTTCCGTGTATGCTGCCATGTTTATTTTAAAATTACTTAAAATGTTTTGAAATCTAGATGTGGTAAAATTATTTTTATTCTGGGTGAGAAGAAGCCTGTAGTCGATAAATAAAGATTATTAGCTGCAATATAATTATTAAAAATTTAAACAACTTGAAAATAAATGCGTCAAATCTGCCCAAAAAACAAGAATTTTGTCATTGAATAATGAGGTTTTCAAAATGTAAACACATCCAGATGTAAAGCTAGCAGTTGATTTTTCCATTGATCATATGGAAGGATTTCAGCTCCCTTTAATGTTTTGTCATAACATCTTTTATAAACATCTAATCTTTTGACATTATAATTTATATGTTCCACAATAAGGTTAGTATGTAGAACAAAATGTAGATTAATGCAATATTTGTCTCTTTCTTGTTTGTTTTTTGATTGAAATAAACTTTTTGGCGGGGTAAACAGAGAACCTGGGGAGAGGAAACGGAACTGCTGCAGTTTGTCAAGAATAACTAATTAGCAGATTAGCCCACCACCGGATATCCATAATTACTACCACTAAATTAGTGGCTTAAAGAAAACAACTTTGGCATTTTGGAGCATTCAATGTGTCAGGAAGGCAACCCACAAACCTGATTTGGTTACACAAAAAGCTGGTTTACGAAGCCAAGATGGCGGATTACACCGGGACTTTTCAGAGATCCTGACTGAATTAAGCTTTCATAAGATTTCACGAAAAAAAGTCGATTATACATTTACCATAGAAAAACAAAAACAAAACAAAAAAAGAGTTACCATGGCAATTTATCCTGTGCAGATAAGTTTTAGGTTAGCTGTGAACTGCGCTAACTGCTAGCTTAAAATAACGTTTACAACTAAATTAACTTAATTTCGGCATATAATTAAATAATTCCACGGTTTAAGTCACATCACATTTAAAACAAGTACTTATTTACATCATAAACATACCTTTTTCCTCCATCTGCTAAAAAGATACATTTTGCAAGCTCCGTTACAAATCGTCTTGATTGCCGTTAAGCCGTCTTTGCTTTAACAAGAAGTTGTCCCTTCAAAACAAAAGCATCACAACACAAACGGGAAGTTAACCATCGTGTTTATAATTGTCTTCTGTAGGTTTGTGTAACATGTTTTTCAGAAATGGACATTCCAGTTATTTACTTTTTATCCACTATTGACACGGTTGTATTTAAAATGCACTGGACTAACGGTACTTTTTTTTTTTGAAAAACAAAAGTTTTGTTGGTCATTTTGTTTCCAAGCTTTTTGCAAGTTATTTGCATTCCTATTTATGTTGGATCAGCGTAATAAACCACACAGTGGCAATTCCTGAATAAATCGTTCGTGTGTCAAGAATTTTATTTTGACAGCATCTCAGAATATGATACAAGTAAACAAGTTTTGTTTTTTTTTGCAAAAGTTAATATATTCATAGTGTTGCATTTTAATAAAAATAGTTGCTCACTTCTTACAGTCTCTGTGACCATCAATAGTTACACTTCTACATAGATATTTGTTCAGGGTTCTGCTAACACACCACACAGTGATACAGAGCTGCTCGGGTGCTGTGGGGGAAACGCGTCATCAAACGAAACGTCCTCCGACTTCTGCTCAGTTTGGCTCCACGGAGAAGGAAAGCAGCGACTTGTGCAAAAGTTTCAGCTTCTGTGTCAAACTCAAGTGATTTCATGAGAGAAAAAACATTCCCGCACAACGTTTAGGTCGAGGCCGAAGAGCCGAGCTGATGAATTTCTCCTCCTCTGTCCTGGATTCTGTTTTACAATCAGTCAGCTTAGTCCTTGTGTAATTACGGAGGCAAACATAATGAGTCCCCGTCTCCCTTTGCTCTTTTAAAAGCTCTGAGCGCTTCCTTTAGCCGAGCAGAGGAAGGAAACTTTAATGCTGGCTTTCTCGGGGGGGAAATTACCAGGTAAAGATGATAAAACAAGAATTTTTAACCCCCCAAAAAACAATTTGCTTAAAAAAGTGGGTTTATGCTTCGAGTTATTTACTGTCAAAACATCAACAAAGGAAAGCCTAAAAAGTAAAACAGAAAAGAGGATTGTGTGCTTTTCTTTTGAGCTGCACTCATTTGATTCACAAAGGAACTAGGGCTGGACGATATAAGCATTTCATATCAACAAATATCGATAATTATTGATCGGATTGGTTTATTTTGAATATCTTACAAACTGCCAAACTGGTGACGAGAACTTTCCTGTTTTATCCGCAGATTTTACTTCACCCCAATTTTTATTTTTACGCAGTTATGAGACATGAAACTGCTGCTGCGCAAGTTACTCAACAGGTTGTTGCCAGGCAACCAGAGAATGAGTGAGTTGCTAGCAGCTAAAGCCGTTCTCCTCTGACTACATTTCCCAGAATGCTGTGCGGTTCTGGATCACAGTTCTGTAAATAGTCTATCAGATGTGTTATCTATTGATATTGATCATGGGTATTGTTATTTATTGTCCAGCCCTAGTTAAAACATGGGGAAAAAACCCCCCCAAAAAAACAAATTGCAAAGTCTAAATCAATAATGCAATTTTCTGTTTTGGTATTTTACATTTTATTTATACTTTTTAAGGTTTTCTTATATTTTATTTCTCTATGGGTTTGATCAAATTTTTGTTCTTTTCTTCTTTGAAAACTTTGTCCTCAAACTTTTCCTTGTTGTTAACGTGAATTAAAACTGCTGAGCTCGTCTTGGCACCGGAGTCTGCAGGTGTGCAGGAATGGACTTCTTGCTCTCCTCCTATTGCAGCAGTCCAAGATTAGATCCTGACCCAGGTTATCTGGAGCATGTCACTCCCACCCTCTGTTGCTAACACAGTTTTATCTGCAATTCACCGTGTGTCCAAAGACTCTTCTGGTCAGAAGTTTACATACACTCATTATGGGCATAAACAGGGTATCTGCATGTTTAACCAACTCAAATTGAAGACTTTTTAAGACCATTATGAGTGAAATTTAGGATCTGCATAATGGGAAATTATTGAGAAATTGATGTGGATCAAAAAAGTGAACTCTCGTTCACCTAAAAACCTAGGCTTTGGCTTGGTTGAAGTGAACTCTGGTGCATTTCAAATGCAAGTGGACTGGAAACCGCTTCAAAATCAGGGCATTCTGGGTAATTACAACCAAAACAAACATGCGTATCTAGCGCTAGCAAGAGAAATTGCTTGTAATCTTCTACCAAAGACGAAAGTGAAATGCTACAAACACTAAAATGTGACCCTAAAAAGTCTTCAGAGGTTTTTGTGTAATTTCTTTTGGTGGTTCTTGGTGCAGCGCCCCCACAGGTGAGGAGGGGAACAGTTTTTTCAAATGGTTTGATTTGTTTGAAACAATGCAGTGTGAAAGCAAACTGCACCAGCTGAAAATGTAACAAATGTTGTAATTTTGGTCCTAAATCTAACTGAGTATACCGGACTATCAAGTGTGAAAATTTATCAACAAATAAACACTTAAAGGCAAATTAAGGTTTACGTTCCACAGGAAAAAAATAATAAAATAAAAGGTGAATCCATGAATGTTGAACATTTAAAATAAATAATGGATTTCTAATATTACTACAATTCATGCCCATTAGGAATGTAACCATCTGACCAGAACTGATAGCTTTTTAAAAAAATCCTCCGAAAACAAAAAGTCAGCTTAAAATGAGCTTTGGCACAGATTTTCCTCTCCTCGCATCACACAGTGCAACAATCATGAAGCCTCAGCAACATCCGATACAAATTAAGGGCCCCAACGCCTGGCAGTAAATTCACTAACAGGCTTACTAATCAAGTTAAAAGGTGCTGACATTTGGTTACACCACTAAGTGTTTTTTTTTTTTAATTGAAAATAATCGTGTTAGACTTTATTCAAAAATCAGAGATGACCCAAAGTGAACCACTTGCTCAAACAAAAGACCCCAACTAATGGGCTCATAATTATACCTGTGGAATAAATTATATACTTCATTATTTATCACATTTAAAAAATACAGTTTCTAATAAATTTCTGTGAAGTTGGTGTTTTTATAGCAGCCAGACTCAGTCTAAGGCACGCTTCTCTGTCACCGTCATTCATCTCTCAGCGTTTGAACGGACACCGTTGTCACACTTTTTTTTCTTCTAAAGCACAAGAATGACGATAAAAATGGATAAACGAGACAATCGTACAGAACAGAAACAGACGATCGCAGAGGAAACCCCAAGTCGCTTTGCTTGAACTCTCATCGGTTTTCTGATAAGATTCTTCACGTTGAAGATGGTCTTATTTACAAACTGTTTAATATTTTTTATATAGTATCTTTTAATCATGTGATGGATTAGTTGAGAGCGGTCTCTGTTAAGGCAAAGCTCGGCTGATGAGTGGATTTCTTCTCTGCTGTCACGTTTTGATTCATTCACGCCTCAGAAAGCAGACAAACCTTCTTACAAAGGGGACCCATCATACTTCTTTGGATTTTTTTTTTGCTAACTTTCTACTTCTATTTGGGTTTCTACTGCTTCTGAAAACAGACCAAACGCTTAAAAAAGCCATTTTTTGACAATAAATTAATGAATTTTAGAGTCTGGAAAATGAGTCATTTCACCTAGTAACCCCAGAGAAGCCCAGCTCATTACCTAGCAACCCCAGCAGAGTTCTGTCGTCACCTAGCAACCCAAGTGGAGCTCCAGCACATTTGGTCAGCTAATTTTTACTGCTGTATACGCTGTACAATGGCTGCTGGAAAAGATAGGGTTAATCTGCAGACTGAAAGTGGGCGTTTCTAAAGAGCAAAAACCTTTCAGACACTTACAAAAATCACATTTGGTGGTTGCTTTAAAAATATGGCATAAGAAGCTAAGGGTACAATTCATTTGTCTCAATGCCACTCAAAGTAACAGTTTTTCAGTGTTTTTAACACCTTATGTCCGTTTTCACATCATTTCAGTAACCAAAATGGATTTTGTTCAACATTTAGTGCCTCCTACTGCTAAACATCTCAGGAAAATTGCTACTGTTATTAAAACCCTGTGATTTATGTTGATGCTCTTGTTTTGAAATGTACCTGGATGCTCTCTGGAAAGAGAGGCGGGAGGAGAAGTTAGAGAGACGCCACCAATATTGAACTGGCTAACACAGTGTTTGTCGTTAAGTGCTTAAAGTGTAACTATAAGACATTCAGATACCTCCAAGTTACAACAAAAAGCTCATGAAACTAAAATAAATTAAAGTCTGATGCCAGAGATGTAAGCTAGCTTGAATGGCGTTAATTTGGTCCAGTCAAGTGTGCCTCTTGAGAAACGCCTTCCTTTGGAAACGCCTACTTCGTCTGCAGACAAACCTACTCGGCTGGAAAAGACAAATGTTTTGTTGTTGACTTACCATGCAGAAACCACTTTCTGCATTCCTGTTGGTTGCGCAGGAGGCTCCACTTCTGCTTTTCAAAGACATGCCTTTGTATAATTGCCCATCTGCAGCCATTTTCATGTGTGAGTGTAAACGCTGAGTCTGGGTCGTGGATTGGCTTTAAAGTGGCAGAGCCCCGAAAACAGCTGACACTGAAAGGAGAACTGACTAAAATCTCATCATTTAAGAATGATTTTGTGCAAAAAAATGTAATAAACATGTTTTGTATAAACCATAAACCTATCCTAACCGGTTCAAGGAAGTATAATAGGTCACCTTTCAACATTCCTCTTCATAAAATAGACTACAATTTGAACAGTAAATATATTTATATATAAAAAATCCCAGCCTGCTTTCTGTCCAGCTCTGCTCGGGAGTTCAGAGGTTTCAGAAAGTTCTCGCTCTGCTACTGATTGCTCTTTCTTAAAGTGGATGACTTTCCAGTTCTTAAGGTGGTGGGTGTAACATAATGCTTCAGAATAATTTAAAGTACAGTAGTATAAATAAAAGTTTTAAAAGTCGTGGTCCAGATAAGCCCGCCCCGCTTCGTGTTTGGGGATGTGGAGGTGGTGGTTCAGTCCAGACAAACGTGGACGCTGCTGCTGCTGCTGCTGCTGCTGCTGCTGCTGCTGCGGCGTTATCTGCTGAGCGTGGACGCGCCTGCGCGCAGCGTGCTGGGCAGCTTGTCCGATCCAGGGATCTTCCACGGACCGGGCGAGACCGTGGCCTTCCTCCCCGCTCCGGTGGCGCTGCTGGAGCTCTTGCCCCTTCGCTCTGCGCTTTCCCTGCTGTTCCCGTTAGTGTGTGGGATCTTAGAGCCGCCGGGAGAGTGAGTCCTCTCCTTGGACCGTCCTCTGGTGCTCCTCACAGGTTTGGACTCCCCGCCTTGTCCCTCCTTGTCCCCGTCTCCTTCAGTAGTGTGCTGCTGCTGCTGCTGCTGCAGCCTGTGTCCCTTATGGGTGGACCTGCCACCGTTGCTTTTGGCGATTCTCCTCCCCTGACTCATGGCGTCTCTGTTCAGCAGCAGCTCGGCTTTCTGGGGGCTCTTGGAACGCTCCGTCCTGCTGGTGTCCCGGGCGGCGTCTAGAGGAGGCAGATGAGGAGGGTCGGGGGCCGGGGCCAAATGAGATGAAGGCGTTGGCATGGAGAGGCTGTCAGAGGGAGGGCCTACTTCCGACAGGCTTGGGGAGGCTGAAGGGCGACCATCCCATGGGGCGGCGTTGTCTGGAACAAGAAGACATGCAGTCAGAAACCAAAAATAAACTCAAGCACACACCCAGAACACCACAGCACAACAAAACACACTGCAGAGAGCAGAACTGGACGATACATTATATTAATATTGTTAATATTGTTGTTTTGAGACCATTTTCAACTCAAGATAATGGCGTAGTAATGCAAGTACACTTAGGACTGTCACAATAAATTTTACTGGACGATAAATTGTTCCAGAAATAATTGAAATGGTTGAAAAACACCAACTTATTGCCAGAAACTGGGGTTTGGTGGGAGGCTTGAAGCTCGTGTGCCGTTTTTAAAATCAGTTGAGACCCGAATGGAAGAACGAAAACGTGGAAAATATGAGTTTTGCTTAAAGACAGAAAAATGTACAAAACAATCACATAATTTGAGCTAAAATGTGATAAAATCATGTCTGGGTTTGAATTTTGATGGATTCAGAAACTAATTGAATATAATTTAACATGTCTTATCAGACTATATAATAACATCAGTCAGTCAGTTTCTAAAAGCTGTAAGTATCCAGATTAAAGCGGCTCTGGCTCCTACAGCCACACGCGTCGGAGAGCAGCTCTACTTTCAGAAAACATCAATCTGCCTCCCATAGCTCTCTTTAAGGCCGAGGACAATCTAAAAGCTTGGCGGAAAATCGAATCCAGGTTTAATGAAATGGACGACGGCCCCAACAGGGCGGCGTTTCGGGCAGGATGGAAACCATCTAAGGTCTGAGTACGCCCCGCTCGGCGTGAATCCACGGAGCTTTTCTCCAGAAGAAGAAGAAAAGAGAGCAACTCCTCGCTCTCACAGACTGTTAGCTCCTGTTTCTGCACCACTAAGCCTCGGTCCCTCGGCCATCAGTCATTTCCAGCGGCGCAGGCAGGGGGCAGGAATCTGCAGCTCGCTGCACCAGCACTAAGAGACTCAGTTACAACAAAACTGCATCAGTAACACCACAGAAAGTTAGGTGTTTGCAGGATAAATTAATAAATACTAAATGATACGGTAATTTCTACTGTCAGCTCAGGCATAAGAGGTAGAGGGACTTTTTTAAAAACCACAAAATGCTGCATTAAAACTGTTTCTGTTCTACTTTGGATGAAAACTGGAGGCTTTCTGGCTTTTATACATAATATTTTAAATTTTTGTTCTCATTTGAACTTTAAATTAGTCATCCATAGCTTCCCGTTTTCCTGTAAACATGACTAATTCTCTTAGCCAAAATCCAAAATGGGAAAGACAAAAGAACATGGCGTTAAGATTCATCTAGAGCAGAGGAGTCCAGACCAAAATCGTCAAGTCAAAAGTTTTTACGGGCCAATAAATTAAAAGTAAAACTAAAATCAAGCAATTTAAAGTATCTTGTTTTCCGATTATTTTGGGCTCCATTGGACAAAATGTATTCTCTGTTTTAAGCCTAAGAAACAACTTTAATTCTGATAACTAATATTTTTTGAAGTGCAAGTTTGCATCCATTAATGTTTCAGTTTTGTGGTTTTTATCTAAATTTTCTTCATTGTTTTTGGTTGTGTTTTATTATAGATATTTAAAATGTCTTCCAGATAAAAAAAGAGGAGGGGAGATAAAATATTGATTCAATTTTTCTTTCCTTTTTTTGAGGGGGAAATTGCTGCAGTTGAAATTAAGTACGTTTTAGTTTCTATTTATATTAGTTTTGTTGTATTTTCGGCCAATTTCACAATTGTCTTATTTTTCAACAAGCTTAACCACTTAGGTCAGGTCTTGTAAATGTGCTACAAATATAAACTTTGACTTGACTTAGTTGAAAATCGCCTGAAATATTATCGTTTATTGCAATAATTTCTTGGACAAGCCATCAAACTTTGTTACTGTGACACGTTTTTTCAGTTATAAAGTACAGGATTTGGGTCACATTCTTTCCAAATGCTTTCTATATTTAGCCAAGATTAATTAAAGTCTGGATAAATATGGCTCTACTTATTTTTAAAAGTTGGTTATAAAAAGACATACTCTGTGTTGTACTTAACATCTTCCATTGTAAGAAAATGATGTCTAATAATTTCACGCTGATTATTCCAACTCAAGTCAAGAGGACGGAAATGTGCCTACAGATAGAAAATATTTACAGAATTTCCTCTTAATTTTCTGAGTCTGACCCAAATTCACTGAATGTTACAGCAGCAAACAAAAACATTGCTGCCCCAATTCCCTGCTCTGTATATTAAGATTCGCAATGAGGCTGGTGGGAAGGAAACTTGAACTGGAGGGAAGCAGGTGCTGAAAGGACCTGCAGGTGCATGCATTTAAATAACGGCCTGTTTAAAATCTTTTTACTGCTTTTACACAAATCCACCTGCAGCAGCCATGAAATCTCTGCAGATCCAGACTCCGGCTTTTTTGATTAATGCCCACATGCTGTTTACGTCTGAGCTCCGGCCAAATGGAGCAAGTGTGTGTAGTTAAAGACATTTTTTCCCACAAGATGTGTCATTAAACACAATGTAAATCCAAACAGAGGTGTGAGAAAGTCATTTTTCTTCTCTGGCTGCGGACATTTTCAGATTATAGCAGTTTGAAAACAAGTGGGTGTATGATTTGCTCAAAATCTGAATCATCTGTACAGGTTAAAATATGAACGCCTTGAGCAAAATCCAAAAAGCTACTCGCTAACGATGACTAGCATTGGTTTTAGCTGTTAAGTTGTTAAAGTAATGCGCTAAGTCTTAACTTGATATATAAAAGATAAAGGGACACAGTGATTTGTTACTAATTGACAACACTATGACAACTAGATAAGGTCAGAAAAAAATTTTAGTTAAGAAAAATATAGTGTAAAAGAGGGAAGCATTTCATTTATGCTAGCCTGACTATGACAAACGTAACATGTAGACGTGCTGTGTAACTCTGTGTGTTTTGGTTCAGCTAAAAAATAAAAAAGGCAACCTAAACACCTCCGACAGATCATCAGTAGAGCAGGTGTTTAAATTAGCTAATCAACCACCACTACATTAGCTTAGCTAATAGCAGCAGTAGCTACTCTACCACAGCGATCACGTATTAATAATCATAAAATAAACATCAGACCTAAAAATATAATACTGAATGTTCTATTCTTTGTTTGGGAAATGCTTGAGTGTTTTTTTTTTTTTTTTGGTGTTGAATCCTGAGACATATATTGGCGTTGTTGTCGGTTGCTATGGCAACGATTCTGCGTGTAGCTTAGCTGACACAGAGAGCGAGAAAGAGTGGTTTTGAGTTGTTGTGTACTGGTTTTTCTGTGTTATTTCTCCCTTTGCTGTGACAACCAACCAGTTCTGTCATTAGTAGAGTTCATTTAAATGGGTTGGTTTCCATGGAAATGACCAGATTTTTCAGATTAATCTACCAGTTTTCAGCCGGGTAAAGCTGGCCCAGAAGTTTAACGTCAACCTGTTAAATTTAACCTAAAACCAGTTTTAATGTGAGTTTTAGGTCAGAATTTTGTCCAGGTTTCTCACAGGTTGTGGTCAGACTGGTTTTAAGGTGGGTCGTTATAATAATGGTGTCCCAGCAGCTTCCAGTTTATGATCATCTTAAATCTTGATGGTTCCAGGTTCAACTGTTGAAACTTGGACATAATTGGTAGTTTTAACTGGACATTGATCCAAACTGGGTTTAAAATGGATAAAGAAGGGATTTCCAAAAGATTTGACCTCAAAATAAGCTGTAAAGTCCACATCTGTACCAAAAAATAAATTTTGTTCTGAAATATCTTGTTTAAAATATAAAAAAACAAACTCATGACCTTTGTTTGGAAAGAAAAAGTGAGTATTACACGGATGATGAAGCCACAGGAGTCAGTAGGGAATCCTAATTACTGGCAATGTTTTAAAAAAAAAAGTTCCTTCAGAGGCTTGGTTCAAGCTGTTCGTTGATTTTACTTTGTAAATAATCCACCATGATATTTAACATTCATCTCCAGCTGATTTAAGCTGAACAGTTGTGTCCAGATTGGGTTTTTTAAGCTGTTGGAGGCTGATTCATGTTTCAGTAATGAGGCCAGTTGCATTCACATATTTTTACACCCACCTGGAACGTTCTTGATTACATCAAAAGCAGAAATAAAACACTTTGGCATGTTTTTAGGTTAACGATTATTTCAGGTGTAGATTATTCAAACGATTAATCGATTAATCAGATTAAAAAATGTGAATATTTTGTAGATTTTTCACTTTAGACTATTTGTACAATAATAAAAATACATTAATAGACGTAAATAAACAATTCAATTCCCTTTTTAATGAAGAAAATAAACATTTTATTGCCTGAAATGCAACAACAATGAACGCTTGACATCAAGAAATGAAAATCTTAAGTTTCTCCAATACACTTTAGAGCTGATGTGTTTATTTTTGGATTAACTATCCAATTTATAATTAGATAGAAAAAGTGCTAGATACATTATTTTTTCCCAGGTGACGCTAAAACGATGCCTCATGAGGAGTTTTGAGTAGAACATACTTACAAAGGTTTTTTTTATATTTTAAAAGCACAATTTATATATTTTTGTCCAGTTTTGGATTAATTACTGCTTTCAGTGTGTTGTTCTTTCACCAAATAGCTTTTAGAGCCTGTGTACTCCTGTTAATGATTCATTGACTGCTAAATCAGTTGGTGATTAATCACGATTAATCGTTTCAGCCCCTAGTTCTGAGGCAGAATTGTGTTTTAAAATCAGGTTAAAACGACAAAAACCAACAACACACAACAGAACAACACAGAAAGGTAGGGTTACGTGAAGAGAAAACATTGGTATGGTAACAAACCGTGTCTTTAGAGTGGCCCATTAGGAAGAAATAGGGGGAGCCATGCTTGTCACTTTTCATGCACATGGAGAGACTGGAAGATACCATTCCTATAGAAGGGGAAGTAACAACCTAGACCAATCAATTAGTGATAGATCACTGAAATGGACAGAAAATAAGCTAGTGTTAGTCAAGACAGAAAAGGAAGCAGTTATTATTGAGATTAAAGAATACAAAAGACAGATTATTATGGATATAAATGCATGCCAGAGTATTTTATCAGTAGGTAAGATCATACAGTTGAAGTGTTAAAAAGAGAGAGACGATGCAGATGTCCTCCAGGTACTCACCGTACTCTGGGACCTGGCCCGTCCCCCTCTTCAGGAGGAGACGGACCCGTCTGCCCCCGGCCTTGATGAGCTCGATGGCCCTGGCGTGGGTCATGTCTCTGGTGCTCTCTCCATTAATCTCAATGATTTGGTCCCCGACCTGGATATCACACGAAAAGAAAAGGAGCTGTAAAAATCAGCTGGAGAGAGGAAAACATCTCGGGCGAGGAGAGCGCTCTTTATTTAATGTGTTAGCCGGCTAATTGGTTGTTGTGGGAGATGTGAACTGTGCTTTGAAAGTATTGTTGTAGTTTCTTAGAAATATCTCACAGGGAGTAAGAAAGTTTCCCTACAGAAGCCAGGGACTAAACAAAGCAGAGTGGAAATATTTTACCTCCTAAAATATCCCAAACTGTGAGGAGAATGGGACAAATTTTGGCTCAAAACAGCTTCTACTTCTCCAAACTTTTAACAATATAAAAGGTTAGCATTTAAACACTAACCCTTTCCTCACCATCAATATTAGAGAAATGGTACAAGTTAAGCAAACAGCAAATTTGTTTTGTTTTAGGTCTTTTGACCAAGTGGAAACAGAAATCTGCAGTGGAGAATAAACAGTAAATTGTATAAAAGATTAAACCGAAAAAACAAAGAAAACAATTGAAATTGTGTGAATTTGGACGTAAATTAATTGGATGATAAATTAAGATGAGCTCAATAATTTCCATTTGCATGATTTATCGTTTTCCTCCAGTCTTGTGTTTTGGTCTCAACTCGCCTTTTTTTTTTTTGAAGGACAATTTTGTTCACTTCAAAATTCATTTTATTTGTTGTTTCTGTTTGTTTGTTTATTTTGGATATTTAAAATGTCTTCCAGTTCCAGTATTAAAATGTTAATTAGAACTTAAAGTTTGATCTTTGAGAGTGTATTCTTGCATTATGTCACTTGAAAATGGTCTCAAAACAACAATATTATTGCTTATTGCAATAACATCTGGGACAATTTATCGTCCAGCAAATGACAATATATATAGTCTGAATTGAATAAAGTTTTAGGAAATAATGGATTTGATCTGGTGAAAGAAAATGTTTTGGTAAAATTTGGTTCAAAGTTGGAATATAAAGAAAGAAACAAAACACAGAAACAAGACGGTGCAGATGGAGGAAAACTAGCAATAAGCAGACAGTACTTTACCTTGCTATTATTTTGCTCTTTAAAACAAGAAAAGTTGCAGAGACGGGTAAAATACTCGGCGACAGAAGCTGCAGCATTTTGATCATCTTCCAATGAAAATAAGTTCTGGCCCAGTCCCTGATGCACTTGACACTTCTCAGCTCTGAGGATGACTAATGGGGGGATTCATTGGGAACAGGACAAAACGTGAAGCACAATTATGCTAACAAATGGAGATCTCATCCCGTAATGTTCGGAGCAATTTAAAAGTCAGGAGGGGAATTGGTTCAAAGGAGGGAGGGGGGATATTAGGTACCATTACGGTGGTCTGGAGTGAGGCGGGAAGGGGAGGAAGGCAGGACGATTTACTCATTAATCCTGACCTCCAAACAGCAGAGCAATCTCAATTTTCATCTTCGTGAAAGGGGGAAATACAAGTTAAATAAAGAGAAGGCTAATGCTGATCCAAGGTGACGTGACTTGAAAATTGAGAGGGTTTTATTATGTCTTAAAATAGTAATAAAATCTGCACAAATTTTACCAGTGGTTGTTTCCTCTCTAGAGATCGGAGTTTTTAGAATAATATGATTTCCTCAGTGTGTTTTAAATCACTACAAGTAATGTTTTCAACTTAATGTGAACAGAAAATTACTCAAAAATGATAAATACTTACTTTTAATTTACCAGAGCGACCAAAAGATGTTTACACCCAAACAAGTTTGTTTTGTTTCAGGCAAAATTAACCAGAGTAAATACAAAATTGAATGTTGCTTATTAAGAGGAAATGCCATCCAAAGCAACCTTTCCCGATATGAACAAGTAATTGCTCTTCTTGCTGAATCAGCAATTAAAAGTGATAAACTGCTTGTTTTAGAAAAGCTGCAGCAGCCAACTCTGATTACTGCTCAACTTATAAAAATCAGGAATTAACTTATAAAGACACTGCATGACAACGGGAAGAAGCCTAGAAGACGTCAAAAAGCAACACAACATGAACCAAACTGAAGAAATTCAAGACCAGGAAAGAAAACACAGAAACCAGACAGTGCAGATGGAGGAAAACATACAATAAGCAGTTTTCCTTTAACTTTTACGCTTTAGGCTGATGGCCCAAACCGTAAAAGTTGTAAAACATACATGAAAAGGAAGCAGAGAGCAGAGGGTTGAGTTGGTTGACAGAGAAAAAGCTGCAGACGAAGAAAAAAGTCACTGAGAGTTTGAAAATTAATAAAAACCATTTGTAGGCTCACTGTGGGTGAACCACAGTGACCCATTATTAATAAATAAAAAACATGCAATAATGATAAACGAAAGTTAAAACAAAATGACGGCCTATTGTGCAAAATTCACATTTTGCATGTTTTTGTACTTCCATTTGGGTCTGCTGCTTCTAAAAACATCCCAAGGGCTTAAAAGCAAACAAAAAAAGAAAAAACACCCAGATGTTTTTTGGTGTCATATTCCACAGGTTGCCGTTACCTAGCAACCCCAGTCCCGTTACCTAGCAACCCCATCAGAGCTCCAGGACATTTGGACAGCTGGTTTTAGCACTCTATGCGCTGACAAGTGTTTTGTTGTTGACTTGCCATCCAGAAACCACTTGCTGCATTCTTGTTGGTTGTGCAGGAGACTCCACTTTTGCTTTTCAAAGTTGTATGGTTGTACAATTGCGCATCTGAGTGTCAATGTTGAGTTGGGGGCGTGGCTAGCAGCAGCTTATTTGGATTTAAAGTGACAAGAGACCCTAAATCATTTCATTCTGGTTTTGTGCAAAAATGTAATGAACATATTATGTATAATTAACCTATCCTAGGCTGTTCAAGTCTTCATCTTGAAGACGATGAATGGATGCATTTCCCCAGATTGGTGCTAAACTGCCACTTTTTTAGGTATTTTTCAAGACAACTCCAGACTCTTGCTCAATGCAGTGCATATTCCCATATGATCATATTTCACAGCAGCTTGTGAGCTGACTTTAAGTAGCTCCCCAAAGGGATTCCTCCCTCTCCGCTAGCCTACCTCCCTCCCTCCAGGCTCGCTGGACTGTGTTGACTGCAGCATCCAGGAAGGAGAGTAATGCCTCCCCTGGGGGCATTTTGCACACATTATCTCTGACAGGTTCATTACAGATAAGCAATGTAGATCATACCGGGGCCATCAGCCCAAAGCGTAAAAGTTGTAAAACATACAAGAAAAGGAAGCAGAGACCAGAGGCTTGAGCTGGTTGACAGATGGAGAAAAAGCTGCAGACGAAGTTTTAATGTATTTCAGTCGCAGTAAGTCAGAAAATGTCCAAACTGAAGATGGAGCCTGATAAGTCAATATAACAGCTGTTTTTTTCTTAGGGTTTTTTCTGGCATTGTAAACTCAGTGCTACTTTCAACACTGCAAAATCACAAAATCTTAATTACTTTTGCTCTAGTTTCTAGTGAAAATATCTTAGTACACTGGAAAAAAGATAAAAGGTACAAGTAACTTTTCAGCAAGATATAAAAGTTTAAGTAAATAATTTCTTCATATTGATAAAAAAGGTGAAATAAGTGAAATAATCTGCCAGTAGAACAAGAAATTTTCACTTATAAAATGGGAAAGCCACTTATTTCACTTACAGTTAGGCCTGTCACGATAAATTTTGCTGAGCGATTGTCTAAAAAATTATTGCGATAAACAATAATACTGTTTAAAGACCTTTTGACACTGATTTAATGGAAATGACTAATAATGCATGTGATTTCCTGCCATAGATACACTTTATTTTCAAAAGAACACATAACACTGGAACTGATAAACGAAATAAAACAACCAAAAACAAAAATAAAATGGATTCTCAGTCTCCATTAACAAAAAACGTACTTCAATAAAAACTAAACAACATAAAGCCAAAGTGGAAATAAATACTGCATTCAACCAAAAGAGTGCAGATTATGAAGTCTGTATACTATATTGGCCTTCAGTAATCACTAGATTTATATAGAGAAGATGGGCACATCCGACTACCTGACGCAGTAGTTCACACTACACAGGGTTTTTTTGGCCCTATTTTCCCCTCACGATAATCTTAGATCGTTGGCCGATCTAAGATTATCGTTGGTGATTTCGTAACCAATCATCCTACAATGTGTGGTGTGTTACGGTACATCGTCGTGGCCGCTCCGATCTAAATCAAGGGTTTTCCACAACTGGGAGCTTAACGTTGAATGTGACAGGTAGCCAATCAGAAAGCCAGATTCACCTCCTGCTTTCTGAGGGGAAATTAGGGAGGGGAATCCCAAACAGCTGACACGGTGCAACCCGAAGTCCAGCGGACATCGGAGATGATATGTGGAAACAACATTAATATTTATTCAACGTTTCGTGCAAAGAATATAGAAATGACCAGGGGAGGAGTTGGAGCCAAATTGCTACCGCAGTTGATAAACCCGGTAGGTTTTCAGCTGTTCTTCGTTAACGTGACATAAATAGGTTATAATGATTTTCATTCAGTCAGGACTTTACGCTGAATCTAGCCACATGCATCACAGGTAGATTCTAGTAAAGCATTGATTAATGTCTGATTTTAAAATTAGTTAACTGGACTTGTAGCCATTATTTTGTGCTCATGTGGCTGGACACCACATGGCACAACGAACCCGATAGAACCGTTATACCCAGGATTTCTGTCGCCTAATGTGTCTCAGGTTTTGAAAATGGGCCGACAACTCGTGTCGTGTGCGCTGGACATTACACTAAGGAAATAGGAAGGGAGGGCCAGCGGAGAACACCGGAGTTGAGCATTTTTCATTCAGTGTCATCAACGGAAAGAAAAAAGGCAGGAAGAGACGATAAAGCCGATAATTAAAATGAGGTTGATAGGTTTAATTTATTGTGCGATTAATTGATTTATCGTTTATCGCGACAGGCCTACTTACAGCTAGTACTTATCAATATTAAGGAATTATTTACTTAAATCAAATTTCTATTTCTTACTGAAAATAAAAAACAACCCAATCACTAAAAAAACCTCAATAAGTTCATGTTTTTGGTGCTACATTCCACAGGCACTACGCCGTTACCTAGCAACCCCAGCCAAGCCCAGCCCCGTTACCTAGCAACCCAGCAAGTGTAACCGCTGCATGCGCTGTACAATGGAAAGTTAGTTTTGTCTTACTTCAAGGATACCAAGATATTTGCACTAGAAACTAGACCAAAAATACTTGGTAAGATTTTGTGTTTTCTTGAAGTGAGGTACTTTGGAAACTCATAAGCTGAGCTAAGTATGATCACATGTAGCGGAGAGATGAGTTTTAGAAACATGGGAGGAGAAAAATCCGGAGGTTTTAATATGACATGAGAAAAGTTGCTGCAGCAGCTTTGATAGCATCGCACAATTACTCTGAGTGACCGCCATGTAATCCAGATGGATAGAAAGCAGCTTAACCTTTAAAGAGGGAGTTACAGCTTTGACAAACGACTCGAATAATAATAATAATAAATAATAAAATAAAATAAAAAATCATCAAGCTTACCCTCATCCTCCCGTTGCGGATGGCCGGTCCGTCCTCCGCCAGCCGCAGGACAAACAGGTCCATCTTGTACTCCCGCCCTCCTCGGATGCTGAAACCGAAGCCCTTCACGCTTTTTTCCAGCTCCACTGTGAAATAGTCAAAGTCCTGCGAAAGCTGAAACGAGCCCCCGTCACACACGGTGGATTTAGTTGATTTAGTTCTGTTTGTTTATAAATGTGATGAAACAGACAGAAATACTCTGAGGAATTTGAGAATGACAGATGAGAAAATGTTAGGAAACAATTAAAACCTGTAGGGATGCAGGCAACGATTAATCGATTGTTCTGGTGATTAATCGGTTAAGCAGCTCTACAGATTATTCATTTAATCACTCAAGATTTTTTATATAATATTAAAATACATTGAAAGATGAAAAACTGTTCCAAGAAAACATTTTATTGCCTAAAATGCAGCAACATAGCATTTCTTAGTGAATTTGAACAACATGGAGCAAAAGCTATGCCTTATTTGAAGAGATTTGACTAAAACATATTCACAGGCAAAAGCATTTTTTATCTTAAAAGCAAAATGTAAATATGTTTTGTACAGTTTTGTGCTCAGTGCTCTGAAAAATGCCTTTTTTGAGTGTGTATCTCAGTTAACGATTAATCGATTACTAAATGCCGATTATTTCAATAACCGATTCACCACGATTAATCGCTTCAGCCCCAAAACTTGTGAATAAAATCTGCTCTACCCAAAATGGTTTCAAATTCTGTTAAAACTATTAAGCACATTTTGCAATCCAAATATAAATTGGTTAATACATAAATTAGGCATGAGATAAAGCCCTACATTGTACTGATGTTAAACCAAACAGAAAAAAACTGAGCCTTTATGCTGATGTTAAAAGTATTTCTTGCTGTAGATCAATAAATAAATTAATCAGATTTATTTGTATCACTCATTTCAGCAACAAGCCATTTTTGAAGAGCTTTAAACTATAAAAACACAAGAATACAAAGTCATAGAAGACACAGTCAACAATTTAAACATCCCATTTTCTGATCTGCTAGATCGGTTTAAACGATTAATCGTCAGAATATTCGATTAATCAATAACTACAATTGTTAGATGCATTCTTTGCAACAAATTATAAAACATATATTAAAGGAATGATTTGTTATTGCATTCTATGCAAATATATTTCCTCATTTAAAAATTAACTGAATTATTTGTTTAGTTGTGTCTTTTAAAGTATTTCCTTTATCGTATAAAAAGGCTTAATGGTTAAATGACAGAATATGACAATTATTTAAAATTATTAATTGACAGAATAATCTTTAATGTCCTAATTAATGATAATCAACAGGGGTTTTCATTACAAATGCAAAAAATAAACATTAATAAACTGATCTTTAAGTGGTGATTGTCTGGAACAAGGCAATCATAAATCCAGTATATGGGAGAAGATAAAACCGTCTTTGCCTTCTTACCTGAACCGGAGGCATCCTGTAGTCTGGGATGGCGAACGGCCTGTAGTCCAGCAGCGGCGGATGTCTGTAGTCCAGCGTGGGCGGCTGCCTGTAGTCCGCCACAGGAGGGTGCCGGTAATCCACCGGTGGCTGCCGGTAATCCGTGAAAGGAGGTTGTCTGATGTCTGGTTTAACGTCTTGTCTGGCCTTCACCTCAGATCTGTAACTAACAGACACCCCAGACTGAAGGCAGATCTCTGAGGAAATAGATAATGCTTATTTCTGACGGAAACCAGAAAAAAAAAGCCTGGATTCAGGAAATTAAGTGTTTTCCCCCAGCAAAAATCCCATGAAATGTTAATAAAAATATATCAATGACAGTGACAGTTTAGGACTTTGTAGTTCTTGGTTAAATATTTAACCCATCTTTTTAAAGAAGCAATATATCCACCATAAATGATTTAGTAGTCTCTAAAAGTAAAGTGATGTTAAAAAGCAAAAGACAGAGTGTGATGGAGAGTGAAGGCGACATTTAAAATGGCAAAAAAGAGAAAATATATAGAACAGCATAAGGAAAGATAAAATATCTGCATTTGAATCCAATGCTCACATACACTGTATGAAACCAGATATTTACATACACACTGAATACTTGACATTCCCCTTATGACCAGCTATACTTCAATATAAATAGCAGAAACTGTTTCAGCATTACAGCAGAAGCCAATTTCTTGAGTCTTCCTTATTTCCAGTCTTGGAGGAAAAGCCAGTTGGTGACAAGGAACATAAATGTTTGCCTGCACTGGCTGCTTTCCAAACACCAACCAAAAGCATGTCAAGTAGCATTGTGTCCACGTATATGTTAGTCTGTGAATAGGTGAGGGTACAGTGCAAAAATAAAGTCCAAAAGAAAATATGTGTCCTAATTACAATGGGCCATACAGAGGAATGGGCCAAAACTCCAGAAAACCAACTTAAGATGCTTGATTAGGACTGCAAATAATGTTAGTTATCAATTATTCTATTCATTTCTCTGATGATTAATCGATTAATTGAATAAAAATCATCACATTCTGCATATTTGTCAGTTAAGCCTTTTTCATACATTAGAAATGACTAAAATATTCAAAGAAACAAATATTTTACAGAATATTACAGGTGAAGCTAAACTGTACCACTTCAGAAGTTTTTTGTAAAACATAGATCCAGACAAGGGATTTTTTTTTTTATCTTAAATGCAAGTAGTATAAATTTCGGTACAATTTTGACTTAATTACTGCTCTGAGAATGTTGATCTTGCAGCAATTTGCCGTTTTTCAGAGTCTGTATACTAACGTTAACCATTAATTGATTACTAAATTAGTTGAGGATTATTTCAAGAATCAATTAATCATGATTAATTGTTTCAGCCTTAAGCTTGTGGAAAGACACCAACAACATCTGACCCAATCATACAGCTTAAAACATCTTTCATATCGGAAAAATATCTGGTTTCAACTGTATTCATAGAAGCCCAGCTTAGAATTATCCATTAAAAAATGTTTTACAATCTGGAATATTTTTCTACCTGCTGTCGTGGGTGTAGGTCTGAGGAGGAGGAACAGGAAGTTGGGTCACAGGGCTGTGATGGGGAGCTGGGTTGGGCTGAGCAGCAGATGGGTGAGATTCTACTGGTGCTTGGTTGGACTGGGAGGCTGCAGCGTTGGGCTGGACCTTTGGGCTGTGCTGTTGAGCCATGGGGCTCTGCTTCTCTGAGGCCGTCGCTGACGGAGGGTTGCTGAGCTCTGCGAATAAAAAAAAAAGAAAATTTGAGAAAATACTACAATATATGACAGCGTATCAAAGCCAGGCTAAAAAAATAAAAAATAAATAAAATTATGAGGATAAAGTCATAGTAACACGAGAATAAAGTTGTAATGTTAGGAGAACTCTGAAGTCTTACAAGTGCAGTAAAATGTTGAGTATCTTGTGAAATTGTACTTTGTTTTTTGGTTTTACAAATAATAAAAAACTTCATCTGTTAATACGTCCTGTCACTTTAAATCCAAACAAGCTGTTGCTGGCTACGACCCACAACTCGATGTTTACACTCGCATGTGAAAATGGCAGCAAACAGATGCGCAATTATACAATCATACATTATTGAAAAGCACAACTGGAGCCTCCTGTACAACCAACAAGAAAACAGCAAGTGGTTTCAATTAACAATAAAACGGTTGTCTTTTCCAGCAGCCATTGTACAGCGCATACAGTGGTAAAACCAGCTGATCAAACGTGCTAGAGTTCTGTTTTGGTTGCTAGGTAACGGGGAGAACTTTATTGTGGTTGCTAGGTAACGGGCTAGGCTTCTCTGATTTGTTAACTGACATTTGGAAGGTTTTGGAATGGGTCATTTTCCAGGCACCAAAAAATATGAACTTATTGCCTTAAAAAAAAAAAAGCTGGGTGGTTATTTTAAGCAGTTGGGTTGTTTTTAGAAACAGTCGAGACCCAAACGGAAGTCGAAAAAAATACAAAATGTGAATTTAGCATAACATTAAAAGACAGTAAACAGTTCTTTACGGGAGAACATTTCCTGAATGTGTGTTGATGTTTTCTGACCTTCCTGTGGGATGATCCTCAGAGTGACACTCAGGCCGGCGTCCTTGATCAGCTTGACGATGTCGGCGTGCGGCATGCTGACGATGGACTGGCCATTGACCGCCAGGATCCGGTCTCCCACCTTCAGCTTCCCGCTGCGGTCAGCCGGGCTGCCCTCGATGATCCGGCCGATTTTATGGGGCACAGCTGTTGGGTTCGGATGCAGGTGAGTGTGTACTCGAAAGGACTGCTCCCGTCTCTGCCTGCAGAAACCTCACCGCCTGAATGAGTGAGCGTGTCTCTGCCTCGCTCATTTTGCCTTTCACTGCAAGCTTACGTAAGAAATCCAGGATATTTTCATGCATGTGGGCGAAGCGCTGATGCTCGCAGCAGCGGGGTGAAGATGTGTGTGACTGACATGCGGTGGGAGGGTTTGGATTATTGATGAGCGAGACAGAGACCTGCTTCACTTTTATTCAGCCGGAACCAAATTCCCGAAGTTCTCCGACCTCTAGGCACATTTTACAATATGAAATACAAAAATTTACCACGACTTTACAGCAGAATGGATCCTGGACAAACCAAAAACTCCAAGAAACTACGGCTGCAACCAACAATTATTTTTGTAATCCATTATTCTGTCGATTATTCGGACCATTAGTTGATTAATCGGATAGAAAAATTATGCAGATTTTTCATTTAACCTCTTCAATTAATCTTATACAATATTAGAAATACATTAAACGATGCAAATTAAAAAAATTACATTTATTTTTTAAATAAAAAAATAAACATTTTAATGTCTAAAATGCAATAACAGAAAATTCGTTTAGGGAACTCTTGGTCAATGGTAAATTAATTAACTAATTTTTGCATTTGCCAATTAATTAATAATTGGATGCTAAAACATCCATTTTAGAAGATGTGGGTAAAACATATTTAAAAACATTGTTTTATTTTATTTTAAATGCAGAATGTGTATGTTTTTGTTAATTACTGCTCTGACTGTGTTGTTCTTTCTGAAAATGGCCTTTTAAAAAGTCTGAATACACCAGTTAACGATTAAAAGATTGCTAAATTAGTTGGTGATTATTTCAATAATCGATTCAATACAATTAATCTGATTAATCACTTCATACCTGAGTCTGTATCTGTATACTCCAGTTAGCGATTAATCGAGGCAAATTAGTTGATTATGACTTTAATAACCACTTCAATATGGTTAATCGTTTCATGAATCGAGAAGTCCGAGTCTGTCTACTCTAGTTAACGATTAATTGATTCAACACAATTCATCTGATTAATCATCTTATGCCTGAGGGTGTATACTCCAGTTAACGATCAATCAATTACTAAACTAGTCAAAGATTATTTCAATAATCAATTCGACACAATTAATCATTTCATGTCACATATGTGAGTGTGAGTCTGTATGCTTCAGTTAAGGATTAATTGATTGCTAAATTAGTTGACTATGATTTCATCAATTCAACAAGATTTCATCCCACATGAGGAGTTTGAGCCTGTATTTGTATTTAAGTCTGCGATTAATCATTTTAGCTCAACAAGGAAGGAGCTAAAGGAACAGAGGATATGCGCTTTGCATTCATAGATTAAATTGTTTCCTAAAGGTAGTCCAACAAAAAAAAGAAAAGATATTTCTGTGGATTTTAGCCAAATGCTGTTATTTTCTTGGGTCCTTTGATTCCTTCCAGTTTATTTCAGCAGTTTAAAATCTAAAGCTCACCCAGTGCTGAAATATTTGCTTTAAATTTTAGTGAACTTCAGTATTTCATATTTCAAGGGTTGGGAACTCCGGGAAGTTAAATCAGAACTCACTGTTGGTTGCAGTCGTTTCAGGCCGGTTGAGCGAGCTGATGATGACGAAGCCGAAGCCTTCGCTCTCCTTCCTGCTGATTGTGACGTCGCTCGGCTTTGTGTTGGCGGCGGACATCCCGTCTGACGCAGCGGAGGCGTTGCCTGGGCCGCTGTTGGCAGTCTGGCTGGTGCTGTTTGCGTACGTGTAGTCGCTGTGAGGCGAGCTGTGCTGCGTGGAGGCGGAGCCCGGACTGCGGCTGTTTTCTGGACACGACTCACCTGCAGGGGGCGGTAGAGATCTTAATCTGTTTAATGATTAATTACAATCCATGACAAGAAGATACTTCAATAACGTAAATTCCCTTTGTAATAAATAAAATTACTTGAAATCTGATGTTCAGACACACTAATCCAGTCTGTTTCAGAAAAGTAAATTTTTATTTGTAAATTCTTTCTGTTCACCAGTTGTGCTGAAACTAATAATTATTTTTTTAAAAACTTATTTTTCATTGAACCACTTAGGCTTATTTCATACAATATTAGAAATACATAAGAAAATGAAAACAGGTGAAGCTAACACTATGCCACATGATTAATCCGATTAATCATTTCAGCCCTGCACTACATACAGAGATAAACAAAAATAGTTTTTAAAAATAAAGCTCAGAAAGTCTCAACGAAGTTACAGCCAGCTAGAGAAGAGGTCTGCAAACTTTACAGCCTAAAGAGGCCTTTCTGCTTTTTGTTTCTAGTCCTACAAATTTTTTTTCTTGTTTTTAAAAATCCTGTTTGAAATAAATAAATAAAATAAAAAGATAAATGTAGCAAAAAGAGGATGGATCTTTTTTTCCTGTGGGATGGAAAATGATGCAAAAACAAAACAAAACAAAAAACCCCACATAATTTTCAACAAGCAGGTTTAAAATCATATTGGTAAGAACCTGCATTTCTATATTTAAAAACATTTTTTAGTTCTTTATCAGAGTCTCCTAATGGCCATCAGGCTTTGAAAGCCGTTTGTTCTACACCAGAAAATTTAGCTATTATGTTGCAAGTAATGGACAGAATGAATTTCATCAAGACTTTTCCAGTCGTAAACACCACCCACATGTTGAATCGCCTTCTTTTCCTAACCAGCGTTCAAAGCATTCTCATGAAAAGGAAAATAATGGCCAAAAATGTGCAAAATCTGGAGTGGTGGGTGGAGGCCGGGTGCAGAGAGCAAAGTCTGACACTTGGTAAAGTGCCGGTGGGAGTCAGACGATTAGATTGGAAGTTGGGGTCAGAGAAGAGGTCAGGCATGAGTGAGACGGCAGCTTTTGGTGGGAAGAGATTGGCAGAGAGGGCGAGCGGAGTGGGACGGGTTGAGCTGGTGAGAAGAGCGCGTGCGTGTTTGTGGGAAGGTGTTGAAGATGAGATCGGAGGAGGAACGGCCGACTCAGACTCGGAGCTAAAGAGGTTTTAGGAATCAGAGAGAAGTGTTTGTTTTAGGGCGGAAGTGTGATTTAGGCTTTTTTATTTAAAAGGATGACTTATTAAGGGGATTTATTATGAAAAATTCACATTTTGGATGTTATTATTATACTTCCATTTGGATCTCAACTGCTTCTGGCCATAACTTAATGTGTTTTTGTGTCTGGAAAACAAACGGTTTCAAAAATATTCTGATTGTTAAGCCACATTCGGCAGGCTATGTGCTGTTACCCAACAACCCCGGGGAGAGATTTTTAATTCTGCTAAAATAATGATAATTTAAATATACATTAATAAAACAAAGTGCAGTCCCAGCACATTTGGTCAGCTGGTTTTACTGCTGCATTCGATGTACAATGGCTGCTGGAAAAGACAAGTGTTCTGTTGTTGACTTACCATCCAGATCCACCTACTGCATTCTTGTTGGTTGTGCAGGAGGCTCTACTAATGCTTTTTAAAGATGTGTTTTTGTATAATTTTGGATCTGTTTGCAGCCATCTTTATGTGTGAGGGTAAATGTTGAATTGAAGAAGCAGTTTATTTGGATTTAAAGCGACAGAGACCATAAAACAGCTCATTCTGAAAGGAGCTCAAAATAAGCAAGAACTGTCTAGAAGGTCTGGGTGATAAATTGATTTTATCAAAAAATTAACTGCATCTAAACATTTTTGTTTTTGCAACTAAAGTCTATTTTCTGGGATAATCTTCTAAATTTCAAATAGCCCTAAAATGTTGTTAGTGCACACAGCACTTGTGGTAAAGAATTTGTTTGGTATCCATGTATTTTCTATTATTTTAAAGCACAGAATTCTTACTTTCAGAATCTGTTAATGACTAAAAAGTTTGAGAAATGACAGGTAGAGGAAGAGAAGAAGCTGTAAACCCGTCCGGCTCTTTACCTCCTGCCTGCGCCCTTCTCCTGATGACCAGGTTGACTTGTCCGTTGCGCCCCGCCGCGTGCATCAGGTCGATAACGTATCTGTGTGCCTTCCCCACCACTGGGATCCCGTCCACGAACAGCAGCTCGTCTCCCGGCCGTAATCGCCCGTCTAGATCTGCTGGACTCTTCTCTATGATCGCTCCAATAAGAATCTGTTCATTTTGTTCCATAACACCGGGAGTTAAATGAATGGATTCTTGGCATTATGTTGAAATGAGTAGATGTTAGAGTGATTGTTATTCAGTAATGTAATAAAGTATTAGTTTTCTAAACTCACATGCAGTGCCTTTGAACTTTTTCACATTTTATTGCGATATTAATGACAGACTAATACAAAACAGCAGATAATCCGTCTGCTTTACACTGATACTAAAGAGTAGCTACATTTCCATTGGCCATAAAAATAAATCTGCTAGATGGAAACATTCACATTCGGGCAAGTCGTAATCAATAATCGAATGTTACTACTGGTGGAAACAACAAAGAAGACAACAGGAAGTGGTAGGAGGATATTTTTCAATTAAACTTTTTCACATGTGATTTTAATTGCGTTTCTTATTTAATGTAAAATGTGCTGTTTATATCAACAAAACTTTGCAAACATCTCTGATGAAAAGACAACTAGTAAAATCCATTCAAACCAAGTGAACCAACTAAAACAGAGTCCATCTGAGTGGATCCATCTGAGTGGAGTTTAATCTCAGTAGCATAAAAATACCGTCTGCTGAAAACTGAAGGCCATTTTGGCACACTGGAAAACCTTAAGTGTTTTATTTTTATTGCACTATACTAAAGTTATTACCTTAATATGTTTATAAAAAGTACACAGAAATACTTTTTTACTCAAAAAAGTATGTTCAAGTAGTGCTACTCTTACTCAAGTAGAATTTTAGGGTTCTCTACCGAACTGAGTAATGCTGGATAGAAATTCAAACCATAATTCTCAGAGATTTTATTTTGAAAACCATATTTCCTTTTCATTTATATTTCAAAATTATGTGTTATTTGTTTAAGTCTGTCAAAAAAATCCCAATAAATTTCACTAAAGTTGGTGGTTGTAATGTGGAAAAATGTGAGAAAACTTCTTTAAGTCACTGTATGTTGGTGGGATCCCATTAATAGCAAGCCAGCACTCTCTCAGGGCTAAAGGTCAGGGGTCAGGGGTTAGGAACACACAGTGGGAGTGGAGTGGATTAGAGAGTAGAAAATGACAGGGTTTCACACCCATCACCATACGAGCCTTCTCACGTGTCTCCACACTCACAGGCTGCCCGGCCTCATCACCGCCCAGCACCCGAAAGCCAAACCCAGACTTCTGTCTGCGCAGGTGGACCTCGATGTCCTGGTACTCTGCTCCTTTAATCAGAAGAAAAAAACACGTTAAATCATGTCTCTGGGAGCAGCTTTGTAACTGAAGCGTTACTGTAATCCGATCCATTTTTTCAGTAACAAATAACCTAATAACATTGCAAAAACAAGCACTAAGAGTAATAAAAAGGGTCATACAAAGGCACTATTCATAAAATATAAACTGTTAAAAGTTGCTGAGTTATAATCTTGTTTAAAAGCAAAAATAATTTCTTCCTGGAAACTATTCAAATGTTTTTCTTATATAAGGGAAAAATGTGAATTTAAAACTTTAAAATGAACAAGATTTTTTTTTGTATATACAAGGAATTATTCAAATATAAAACTATTTAAAACATTATTTAAGAAGACGTTTATCATTTTAATCCATTCACACCTACACAAAATAATGATTACAATCATTAAAGAAAGTGGCTGCAAACTAATGTGCAATTACAAAACTTTATATCTTTGAAAAGCAGAAGTGGAGCCTCCTGAACAACAAACAAGAATGCAGCAAGTGGCTTCTGGATGATGAGTCAACAAAAAACACTTGTCGTTTCCAGCAGCCGTTGTACATTGAATGCAGCAGTAAAACCAGCTGACCAAATGTGCTGGAACTGGACTTTGTTTTATTAATGTATATTTAAATTATCTTTATTTAAGCAGAATTAAAAATATCTCCCCTGCGTTGCTAGGTAACGGCTGGGCTTCACAAGGGTTGCTAGGTAACGGCACATTGCCAGCCGAATGTGGCTTAGCAATTAGAATATTTTTTTTTATGTTTCTCTGAACTAAAACTCTTTGAACTGCCTTGTTGCACATTTTATTGATTGACTGAGGTGACTTAACATTTTGAAACAGCTCACTTTTCAGTCACCAAAAAGCATTAATTGATTACAAAAAACTGGCTGGGTGGGTTTTTGAAGCAAGTGAGACCCAAATGGAAGAACAAAAACATGGCAGATGTGAATTTTGTGTAATATGTCCCATTTAAGGATACACACAGAGATTATATTTACCAGTAGAGTCCACAGGAAAAACGGTCCTTGGTTGAACAAGTTCTGGACAAAAAGAGAAAGAGAAAACCAAAGCAATGAGACAGAGACATCCACAAACAGATGCTCCCATATAATCCCGAACTCCGTCGTCAGCACTAATGTCATCGCAGAATCTCTGCATCATCCATGAAGTCAGGAAATGCTTACAGAGAGTAATACAGCTCTTCATTACAACGCAAGGTGGAATGTAAGCACTGATCTGCAGTCAGTGGCGCCACGCTATGCCGCGATCCGCAAAGCGCCGGGGCAAACCCGGCCACAGACAAGAGGCTGCGAATGAAAAATTTATTCCAGTTGTATCCATTTTAATCATAGCGGCGCTCTGCTGGGACTCAGCAGGGATGACGAGAGACGAGAACCTGACACAGATGTTATCCCCACCAACCGGATTACCAGAAAAACGGTTTACAACCGGAAAACCCCCCAGAAGGTATCATAAATATAAAATACAGGAAAACAATTCTTACCTTTTTTTGATTGCTAAAACAGGCTAGAACAAGTTTAATAGCTAAAAGGAGAAAATATATGCTGGAAAAACACTAAATGTATTCTAGAGCATATATGTTGGTATATACTCTGGGGAAAATGTCTTGTTATGAGTGAAGTAAACTGCCAGTGGAACTAGCACTTTTTCATCAATATTAAGGAATGTTTGACTTAAAACAAGTCAAAAAGTTACCTGTAAGCTAGTTTTATGTTATTGCAACAGTGCAAAGAAATCTCCACTGGAAAAGTAAGATTTTGTGTTTTTGAAGTGTAAATTTTCTCCTTTTAGCTAATTAAGGATTTACACACACTGTAAAGTTCCTCTGTCAAGCTTCCAAGGTAATAAAAACCTTAATTTTAGCTCAGAGAAGACACAACCACCACAGCTTTAGTTTTAAAAACATAAAAAGGAGATTTAATAATTAATCCACCTGACTTCTAGCAGTTTTTAAAAACCAGCATCAAAAAGATACCATGTCAGATCACAGAAGCTGCTTCTCCACACATTTTTAAGGCGACATACAAAACTACCACAAGTGTTTCTTCCTGCAATTTTACACCATATTTACTGAGAATATTTTTGAGATGTTAAATCAAACAATCCTGTTAGGTTAAAACTTGTAGATGTACAAAAGCATGAAGTGAAATAGTCTCTACGTACACACATAAAGGTTAACAAATGCTTTTTTACTGCTTATAACTCCCACAGGAAAAAAAATGATATCGCGAAAAGAAAATTACCTTTTTAGTATATTACAAGCCAGAGAGTTATGTTATTGCTGTACTGTATATTTTAGGTGTGGAAGAGATCAACTGTGTTTATTCATGGATGCGTTTCTGCAGAACCGTTTGTCAAAATGAAATGAAGAGATTCCCACAAAAATGCCACAACATTTTACAAGCAACCCGGCTACAGTTAAAATTACACAATTTAAAGTGAATTAAACTGATTAAAAAGCTGTAATACAACAAAAACAGCAAACCCTCTATATATCAATAAAATACAGATGTTTATAAAAACGCCACAATCCAAAATAACGCCTCCATGAAAACATTCATGTTCATTCATGAAGCAAACGCTAGAGCTGAGTTCATGAGGCTAGCTAGCAGGACAAAAATACACGGTGACAAAATATTAAAACTGCTTCCTCTTATCCAGCCCATAACGCCAAAAATGTGTCACCTTCATCCACTGATTGTTTTTCTTCCTCTGTTTTCTTTTTTTCAGGGCTACTAATGTGCAACTAAACTTCTTTTGGTTCCTTTAGCTGGCATGACAAATAACTTGCTAGCAAAACAAAAAGATACTACCCTTCCTCTTATTCAGCCCACAACACCAAAAAATATATAGCTTTTATCCACCGATTGTTTTTCTTCCTGCATTTTCTTTTGATTTTGTTGGGTCGTAATGTACATTACAACCCAGAATGTGCAGTTTACTGTATCACTAAACTTCTTAATGGTCTATACAACACTCTGTGTGAAAGTGCGGTCCAAAGAAATCACCTAATAATGCAGAAAAACACCAACCAAAGTTAATCGTTGCAATTAATTTTATATGGGATATTTAATTTTCCAGAAATGTGGCTGAACATGCAGCTTTGGAGCCCCCTAGTGGCCAATAGCAAGAAACAGCCCAGCACCTCAGTCATTGGTTGGATTTCATAGTCAGTAAAAACTGCTGTACATTTGCTTTTCTGTCTGTTTTCTGTTATTTATGGATTAGGAGGAAATTATTTCCATCCTTCATACCTACAGCAGGTGCCTGTGTGTTTTCACCTGCAGTAAAAGCTCCAGTACTTACGCCTACTCTCATAGATAGCCATGGACTTCTCAAAAAGGTCATAGGGGTCAGGTTTGACCAGTGCCAAGGCCTCGGAGGCCGAGTCCGGGACCGAGGCCATGTGAAGATGGGGTGTTGGGAAGGGGGCGCTGTGGGAGACAATGGGAGCAGAGCGGCTGGTCTGAGCGGGGCTGTTCTGCCCCTGCTGGGACTCCCACTGCTCCAGCACCTGCAAAGCACAGCGGCATGACGGGTCAGTGCTTCCTCTTCCTGTTTGTTTCCACATCTGCTGTTTGATTTTAGCTCTATTGGTATGGTTAAAACACAAACGAGATATGATCATTGGCTACCCCTGATTGATGCAAAACCTGTCAAGCTTTGGACATTCATACAAAACATTTCCCACTATAAAAAATTACTACTAACTTGTTTTTCTTTGAACTAGCTTGTAAAGATCTCTGTACTGTGTTGTACACATTTGCATTGATAATTTTTTAAGGTTCTCTATTCTTAATTATTGATTAATGCCATAAGAAAAATGTTAATGAGAACCAGCCCACACAGAGTTTTATCCAAAACTAGAACTACCACGCTTTTATTTGAATAAATTTGTCCAAGTTTTACTTTTCTGATAAAATAAAATAAAAAACATTCCATGTAGGAAAAATATTTTTTCTTTAAAAAGACTAAAACGTTTCACAGAAGCTCCCACCATTCATCCACCCATCTGCTACTCTTCCTCTGATTTTATTATTTCAATAATAATGTTGATTGTAACCAAAGACGAGGTTTTCAGGCCTGGTACTTCTTTATTAGTGCTACTCCTTTTTAAGAATATAATAAATACTTTGAATGTATCACCAATAGTGAAAAAGCAGCCAAAGTCCAAAATGTTGGAAAATATCCATTTAGAGCAGTGTTTTTCAACCTTTTTTGAGCCAAGGTACATTGTTTTAATTGAAAAAATCACGAGGCACACCACAAACCAAAAATGTAAACAAAGATACTCTGTAGCCGCCTATATTACATATATAGTCATTCTTATCAAAGTGTCTTGAATAGAAATCAAATAAACACAAAAATTTATTTTGATCATATTTTACATTTCTTATTTCAAATTGCACTTAACATGTCCACTTCAAAAATACACCAGAACAGTGCCACAACACTGTCGTGTGTGATGCATGAATGTAGTAACATTCATGCATCACTAATTCTCTTGTTTTAATGTAAAATGCTCTGTACCTACTGCCATCTAGTGGTAATAAAATTACATGATTACGCCGCTAGTCACTACTACAGCAAAGACACTCAAAGATGGCATTATTTGCAGATAATTAATTGGTTTTCAAAAAATCTTTTAAGACCAATTACCGTATTTTCCAGACTATGAGCGCACCATACTATAAAACCGTACCTTCAAATTTTTTTAACCCCCCCTGGAAACTATAACAGCCGCACCGGTCTACAGGCCGCTGGTATCTCTGCCGCTCTCGGTTTCCCATAAGGACCCAGCAGAGGGCAGCAGAGGGCTGCGTCCTAATAACTGCTGGATATATTAAGGACGCAGTTCTCCGTCTCCAAATCCGGTTTTGTTCACGCCGAGTTTACGTGCAGCGGCTTTATTTCCCTCCTGTACTGCCAGATCGATACTCCTCAACTTAGAAGCTGCATCATATGAGTTTGAAAAAATTTTTCCGTCGTGCCTGCTGCTAGCATGTGCTTGTTCTAAATTAAAATTAGCTCGTTCTTCTTTGATTTCCAATTTTGACTTCCAATGATTCACTTCCTGCTAAAGAGCCCCCTGGTGGTTGAAGAAAAATCCACAGAAAAGCCGCATGTTCAAAGTGTAGGAAAAAAGTAGCAGCTTATAGTCCGGAAAATACGGAGGTGAAATTGGATCATTTCCACGGCACACCTGACGATCACTCACGGTACACTAGTGTGCCGCGGCACAGTGGTTGAAAAACACTGATTTAGAGGACAAAGAGGCAATATGGCCGCTGTAAAGCACAACAGGAAAGAAATTAATGGTTTTAAAGATTATGTACAGTGATATGTCCTTTATTGAGCTAAATAATGATGAAACATCAACAAATAACACTAAACATGTCGAATAATATGCATTTTTTTAATATTAGAGATTACCAGAGCTTTTTATAGCAGAAACCTGTGAAGTTATTAACCTTTTTCATGTCATTTTAGCAGAAATCCAAAGCTTGACAGATTTGTTGCGGCTGCTTTTGACTGGTTAGTAGTGAAAACTGTAAAAATCATTCAAGTGTGGATACAGCATTAAAATTAGCATGCTCACCCCTCAACTTGTATGTTTGTCATTCTGACCATTAGCCACTTGAATTTAAAGATGGCTGCCGTTTTGCAGCCTTTTTAGCCACTTGTTGGCATGAAATGTGCTGGTTTTTCAGTTCAGCGGTTTAGCGTTAGCACAGCTAAGATTTTTGTTTTGTGAATTAGTGGTCAGTGAACCTAACGTTTTAGTCGTGGCTAACAACTACTTCTCTATTACAAACATTGCGGCCATTTTGAAAATCACCACCAGAAAAAGACGACACAGGATAAAGGAAATACATACAATTTCTATGGTTTAAAATATGTAGGCTTTAATTGGACACCAAACATCCATCTATTTGTCGATTTTAGTGCAAAAATTTATTTTCCATGACAACAAAGGCGGCCATCTTGGAAAATCAAAAAACTATCAGTAAATAATTTATGTGTGTCCAGTTATTAGTGATTTGACACCAAAAGCATTCACTTGTGATAAATATTGGCAAATTTAGAGCAACAATTAATTTTGCTTGATCACAATGGCAGCCATCTTGATTTTTTCCGAACAAAGCAAGCTCTTTGGAGCATGTATCCACAACTGAACAATTTTGATGACATTTTCAATTATCTGCTGCAGTATTTATCGGTGTTTGGGGAAAGAGCTTAGAAAAATAACAAGTTAGTGAAATTAGTAGTAGAAGAAGCAGTTTGGCTTAATTTATTCAGGGAAAGACAAATAACGGCAAAAGCTTCTGTCCGTTTCCAAGGTGAAGAGATGTGGGCGGTTTGGCGTTAATTTGAAAGAGAAACATCTTGAATTCGAGCCGGCAGCGACAGTTTCTCCAACACCAGTCAGTCTGAGCGGCAGCCTCAATGTGTCAGATGAGCCGGCCGCGTGAGTCACAGCAGGACAGCGAACAGACAGCCGAGACGACATTTTGACACGCCGAGAAGCGTCAAAGCGACTCGGAACGGAGGGAAAACTGAGACCGTATGACTGGCGCGTTTATCATCGGGAAGATACAGAGCAGCTGGTTCTGAGAGCCAATATTAGCTGCAGATATGAAATGTGCTTTCCGATGTGACCCAAAACCGTTTTCTTTTACCTTTAATTAATCTGCATTATTCAGTAAAAACATCTGAAAATGCTGCAGCATTAACTAGTGGTTACCTATGACTTTCTGAATTTGACAGACAAATTTAAATAGGCTTATCTGCAAACAAAGATTTGCTGGACGGAAAGTCCATCTGACAAATTAGCTACTGCTCTGCTCTCACTCTGTTAGCCAAAGCCTCCATGTTTGACTCTGAGCTGTGGAAACCTAATTAGACTCAACTCTGTTTTTCTCATTTTGTCACAGAACCACCACAAATGTTGAAGTATTTCAGAAACACAAAATAATGCCTTCTTTTTGAGCTCATTTCAATTAAAAATCTTTAAAGTGTGGTGTACATTTTAATTTTAAGCTTGCTTGATTCAGACCTCCTCAGAAATTTATGCATTTTCTTCTTTGCAAAATATTCAAACTTGAGTCAAAATTGATTTAATGTGAGGGTGAAGTCAGATTTAGAGTTGGTCTTTGACTAGGCCATTTTTACATACGATTTTTTAAAATTGTAAATCACTCCATTATAGCTCTAGCTATACATTTAAGGCTACTTCAAAACAGTTCTTTTCCCCCAAAAAAATTTTACACCACTTTTTATGACTTCATCAATGGCTTTCCTTTCATCCTCATATCTTTTTAACTTGGATTTAAACAGACATTTAGTAATCAAGATAAATATTTTTCATTGCGGTGATTTAGTAACATTTTTCACCACTTTTTACTGTCAAGCTTAATACCGATTGATTGATCGACTTTTTAAGTCTACCTCTAGTGGTTCATGATCGTCAGGAAACAAACTCTCTTTGATACACATTTTTATACTTTATTTTTCTCATTTTGATGGCACAAAAGGAGTTGGTTAGATTTTATTTTTCAAGTATTTATTCAATAAATGACTAAATGAGGCTGAATTTAGTTTTATTTATGTAACAAG